ATAATCTACCTTTTTTTGAAAATTATATCAATATGTAAAACATATATAAAAGTTGACATCTTAACCATATAATTAAGAGAATTATTGTTACAACTAGATTTTTGTGTTTTAATCAGTTTTATTATTTTATTTTATTTTTTTAACTTACAAAATAATATAGGATATATTGTTAATTTTAGAAGTTTGAAGTTAAAATATTTAACATAATTTTTTATTATTTAAAAATATAAATAAATAAAATATAAAAATATTTTGCTCATTAGCAAAGCCAACACTCAACAATTGACCTGAAGGAGTGTTGCTATTGAGTGGGTAGACCTAGATAGGGGGAGTCATGAGCTAGCCTTGAGTGACAAGGGAGGACTCACTTTGCACATATGTACATCATTCCCCTACCATGTCCTAGTGGCCAGCTGGTCATGAAGCAAGGAGCGTTGTACAAATGTGAATCCAACATTATTTTATTTTAGGAGAAGGGATCTCTACTAATAGAGAGTAACTTTGATTTATATTCAACTTAAATGATGAAAAACTTCTGATGTAGGACTAAATATTCTTGTGTGTTTCAAGGTAGCCATCTATAGCACGGTGTGATCCAATGGTATTCAGTGAGCCACATCATTAGATAAGTCAAATCTTGTGGCTAGTGAATTGTCACGATCGTAGAAGCATTAAGAATCCATTGACAGTTCACGAATCCGACACCACTCAACACACATGTGGCCTTAAATAATGATCCAATGGCTAAGATGGTGCCACAGTACTAGGGACTTACGTTTTTGGTCAGCACTGGTTCATAGTGAGTTGATCTTGTGTTGCTCACATATCACTATTAGGGTTATAAAGATAATAATTGATTATTATCTAGTAAAATAAATATTATCGATTATTCTTAAAATCTTGATGACAATCGTGAATATGACATTCCATTTCCTCCCTCCTTTTGTGCAATCAATACCTCTGGCGATTGGCAAGTTCATTCCTTCCTCCCCTAACTACACTCACAACCTCAACGAGTGGTCAGCTCTTCCCTTCTTCTCCTAAATGATGGTGATAGTATGGTTGACCCCTCTTTTAGTAGATCTCTCAAGCAAGCAACACAGTACTTTTGGACGTTACTTCTGTGACTTCTAGCATGGTGCGGCACATTTAGACAAAACCAAGTAGCCACATTGGTGTCTCTAGTTGTCCAAGAGGTAGACTAAACTTCGGCAATGATTGATTTTCTACTATCAACATTTTGCTTACCTACTTTCGTCATTTATTATTATTTTATAGAAGTTATCTCCATTTTATACATATTTCAATTGAAATGAATAAAACTAATTCAAAACTTGATGAATGATCTTCATTCTTCTTCTAAACTTTTGAAACTCATTTTAGATTAAGCTAAGATCATTTTTAACTTGTTTTCTATTGATATTTGCAGTCAAATCTTGGTGTATTTATGTTCCCGACATTTCGCGGATAATTGATACTTTTCTATTTTCAAATGTGAAATCAACGAGATTAAAGGTTGTCTAATGATCATTGAACTATTAAAACAATGTGGAGACATTCATAGCTGACCTCATGTCATGTGTGTCAACTCTCGAACATATATTCGTCCAAGATTAATGGTTACCGTGAAAACATGTTGATTGTATTTCTCTCTTTCTTTATTATCATCTTATTTCTCTTTCTCCCTCTCTTGTGAGACCTCTTCTTCTCTCTTCATCTCTCGTGAGATCTCTTCCTTTCACTCCCTTTCTCTCAATCAATCTCCCTCTCTCTCTTGTGAAACCTTTCTCTCTCTCCATCTCATGTGAGATTTCTCTTCTCCTTGATGAGTTCAGATTTTTATAGGTGTCGTTAAGCCTAAATCTTTTCAATCAAAATAAGATAAATTGGTCCTAAATCTGATTTGCATAAGAATTTATAAATAGCAGTGAGTTAGGTCGTATCCTTAGGGAATTCAAACTAAATGATTTAATACTCATATGTTTAAGTGGAAGAGGAAGAATGTGAATGAAAGAGATGAGAAGGGTGAGAGATGAGTTCTTGATCTGATTTCTCAGATTTGGAAGGGATGAAATCAGAAATCAAATAATGTGTAAAATAGTATTCCTCAAACCTAACCTAGATCTAATTTTAGACTGAAATCTAACCCTAGATGAACAAAGATATCATTCACTATGAAACTAACTTGGCTTCACCACTCCTTCCTTATTTTTGCTAGAAAGATGTGCTTTTGCAATAGTGGGAGAGGCTTCATTCAGGCGAGATGAACTTGTATTCTTGTTACAATACACCTTCAAACATGCACGGTGGAGCCCTAGAAAACCTTTCCCCTTTGGACGGCTGCAAGGACCACAATTTTCTACTATCAAAGAGCTGTTCATATCATTATTTTCCCCTCAATATATAGAGCAATGTCCTCGCCTCTCTCTCTTTTTCTTCTCTATGTATGAGAGAGACTGTGGGAAGGTTCTAGTGACTTTGCACCTTTCTAGCTAACTGCCACCATTAGATCTATGGGTCTCCTCTCTCTACTACCTTCCACCGTTGGATTGGTGAGCCCTCCTTCCTTGGTGTCTATGTTTCTTGGTCATTGAATTGCTTTTGTCATAAAGAGAACTTGTTGCATGCAATGGTCGGATTCCAACCACATATTGAACGCCCTAGACCTGAGTAATAGATCACTAAAAATTACTTGAAGGGAATCAAAAGAGTAATTCAAGAAAATTTTAAAAAATATCAAAAATATTAATATACTTTTAGACATATTAAAATCACATCATTAGGGTGAGTAAATGTTGAATAATATCTCAAATAATACTAAAATATAGAAGATAAATGTACATATTTAACTTACTATTTATGTGTTATCACACCCCCCAACTTAACTCATTGCTAGTCCCTTAGTTATGAATTAAAGAAGAATGTGATGTTACATAGTTGCCAAGCTCTCAAACTCTTTTGTCTAATTCTCATACATATGAACATGTACTTCGCAAATTCACAAAGAAACACTAGCTCAATTCATGTTTAAGTACTTCTAAGTCTTCCTTAGACATAAGTTAGAACCAATTTACTATCATTTATCACTAGTTTATTTCACTTTAAGACTAACTTTGCACTTTGTATCCTCATCATGTATGTTTGAAGTGCACCAAGGTTAAGACTTGGCTCAATTACACCAGCTTGTTCATATTTTATACTCCCTGTAGGTAACTTTTCCCATAGACATTTTTTTTTTGTTTTGTCCAAGCCTCACATATGGAATCTCCACGAGACAATTGGGAAGGCCCCTTTTATCATGCATACCTCTCGGGACTTCACTCTGCAAGGTTTGTGACAGGATTTTCACAAGCCTTGCTGATCTTAGTCTCACATGTGGAAGCCCCACGGGATCAACACAAGTGCTGTTTTTGCATTTTTGATATGTAGCAGGCATTAGCAAGCCTTGCTGATCCTAGTCACATGTGTGGAAGCCCCACGCGATCAGTCAAGGTGCTACCAAATTTTATTTACTAGTATGATCTTCACCCATGTCATGCCTTGCATCAAGCATAGTCATGACTAATTCATCAAAGATGCTTCAGCTAGCTCTAGTGCAGTTCAATTATATTTTGATCCGAACTGAAATATTTACTACACTAAATCTGATATAGAAGTAAATTAACACAAAATATTACTAGTAATCTTACATGATTTGATCCATACAAGTAGTTCATGATTATACTTGTGTGTAAGAAAAGCACTTAAATATGACTATCTTTTGTGCTCAACGGATGCACTATTTACTTTATTTTACTGCTGCTCCCCCCTAATAGAACATTGCAATGTCCTTAGTGCATTCTATAAGAAGAAAAGACAACTCAAAATGAAGTTTGTGTGAAAATAAATGAAGAGCTAAGGATGGCAAACCCAAAGTGATGTTTGATGGAGAGACATCATGCATACATCCTGATTGTAACTCAATGAATGATGTGGTAGGTGGACACTGAGGTAAAAATAAAATAGTCAACTTAACTAGAAGAAAATGAACACTAAAAGAAACTTAGTCGAACAAAACAAAACAAAATTTACTGATGCAAGAGTCAGCAACTACTACTAGGATGATGCAGTTGATTGAGGTTGATTGAGGTTGATAGAGCTAGCAGCTGCTTGCTGATCATTCTCAAGGTAGGGTTTCAAACACTTTTATCTTAAATGTTTTTCTAGTCTTTAGATCTACTATTAAGATAGCTCCACAATTAGAAATCTGCACAACAATAAATGGTTCATCCCATCTTGATTTAAGTTTTTCCAAAAATAATTTTAATCATGAATTATATAACCAAACCTTCTGATTTTCAACAAAAGATTTACGATTTAGATTTCTATCATGAAAAGCTTTGAGTTTTGCTCTGTAGATATGCAAATTCTCAAAAGCTTCATTACATAGCTTCTAAAGTTCTTGTATTTGAAGAAGACAATGCTTCTCTACATGATCCAAGGATAGATTAAGTTGCTTGATAACCCAATAAGCACAATGTTCAATCTCAACTAGAAGATGACATACTTTTCTATAAATCAAATGATAAGGAGACATGCCAATTGGGTTTTTGTAAGTTATTCTATAGGTCCACAATGCATCCAGTAATTTTTCTGCCCAATCTTTGCCATTAGGTCAGATAATTTTTTTCAAAATCTTCTTAATTTCTTTATTGCAAAGCTCTACCTGTCCATTAGCCTATAGATGATGAGGGGTTGTGATTCTATTTTGGACTCCATATTTTCTAAGTAGATTTTGGAAGTGTGAATTGTTAAAGTGGGAACCGCCATCACTAACAATGACATGAGGGCATCCAAACCTAGAGAAAATGTTTTGCACAATGAACTTAATAACAATCTTATGATCATTTGTCCTAGTTGGAATAACCTCTACCCACTTGCACACATAATCTATAGCTAAAAGAATATACTTATTACATGTAGATGAAGGAAATGGACCCATGAAATCAATTCTCCATAAATCAAAATTTTCTACCTCCAAGATCAATTGTAGTGGCATTGTGTCCCTTTTGGAGATGTTCACCGTAGCTTGAGATGGTGTGCATTTCCTACAAAACTCATGAGCATCAAGAAAAAATGTTGACCAATAGAAACCACACTATAAAAATTTTGCAGCAATCTTTTTAGAGGCAAAATGTCCTCCACAAGTAGAAGAATAACACATGGTTAGAATGTTAAATTACTACTTTCTGGTACACATCTGTAGAGAATTTGGTCAGCACCGAAATTAAAAAGTTCTGGTTCTTCCCAAAAATAAAATTTGAGGTCACTAAAAAACTTACATTTAACATTTGCAAACCATCTTGCAAGTAATTGTCTTGTCACTAGATAATTGAGAATATGAGTGTACCACAACATCTTGCATGCATTAACACTCAACAATTGTTCATCAAGAAAAGAATCTAAAATAGGTATATTATCATGAACTCGTAATCTAGACAAATGATCTGCTACATAATTCTCACTACCCTTTTTGTCGTTGATATCTAAGTCAAATTCTGTAGTAAAAGAATCCATCATATTAATCTAGGTTTTGCTTCTTTCTTAGCCAAAAGAAATTTGATTACAAAGTGATATGTATAAACAATCACTATATTTCCCAGATGGTAAGAACAAAATTTATCTAGGGTGAAAACAATAACAATTAATTATTTTTCAGTAATAGTGTAATTCAATTGCATGTCAACAAGAGTTTTGCTAGCATAATAAATTACTACTAGCTTGTATATATTCGTTGACTCAATACAGCACCTATAACAAAAGTCATACGCATCACACATATGTTTAAAAGGGTAAGTTCAATTTGGGCCTTCAAGGATGGGCACTTCAATAAGGGCCTGGTTAAGTTTTAAGAAAGTTTTAAGAAAGTTGATTTAGCTAAATTGGTAAATCCTTTAATAAATCGTTAATAAAAATCAACATGTCTTAAGAATGAGTGTAGTTGATGAATAGAAGTGGGAAGGGGAAGATTTTGTATCACCTCAATTTTTGTCTTGTCGACTTCTAATCCTTACTAACTAACTATGTGGCTTAGCACCACACCTTTAGTTACCATGAAGTGGGACTTTTCCCAACTTAAAATGAGTTTCTATTTCGCAAAAATATGTAGAACTTTGGTGAGGTTGATTAACCGATCATCAAAGGTTTGACCAAATATGAAAAAGTCTTCCATAAAGATCTCCTACTATTGTGGAGAATATGACAATCATACATCGTTAAAAGGTGGCTGGTGCATTGCATAGCCCGAATGACATTCTAGTGACAGCATATGTACCAAAAGGCAGGTGAAGGTCATCTTCTCCTAATCTTCTAGACATATAGCTACCTAATTTAACTAGAATATCCATCCTAAAAACTAAAATAGTGTTGACCAGCAAGTCGTTCTAATATTTGATCAATAAATGGCAAGGAAAAATGATCCTTCTTAGTGACTTGATTTAATTTCCTGTAATCAATACAAACCCTCTAATTTGTGGTTAGGCAGGTTTTAATTTTCTCTCCTTTGTCATTTGTTGATACCGTGATGCCTGATTTCTTTGGGACAACATGAATTGGGCTAACCCATGGGATACTAGAAATGACATAGATGATTCTAACATCCAACCACTTTAGGATTTTAGCCTTAACTACCCCCAACATTTTTGAATTGAGTCTTCGTTGTATGTCTCTAATTGACTGGGCATTCTCTTGAGTGAATATTCTATGCATACATATTTCAAGACTAATTCCTTGGATATCTGAAAGAGACCAATTGATGGTTGTCTGGTATTACCTTAATATATTTATTAATCTCTCTTCTTGATCAATTGTTAAGGTTGAAGAGATAATGATAGGGAATATATCAAGTAAGCCTAAATATTCATACTTCATGTGTGAAGGTAATGGCTTCAAGGCTGGAAGGGTACTTAGGAAAGCTGTAGAAGAATTTTCCATATTGTTGTTAATGTGTGGATACATCATATTGCTTGTATCTTCGCTGAAAATTTCCTCTACACACACATCAACAACATCAACCATGCACAAATCTTCAAACTCGTAAGTATATTTCAATAATTTTATAATTTTTAATTTAACTTTATCTTGTCTGAATTTTAATTCTATTGTCCCCTTACCCCAATTTGTTGTTGCTTTTGTTGTGGCTAGACATGGTCGCCCTCAAATAGTTGGAGCATGATTAATATTTTCTATAATTTTTATATCAACAATAATAAAATATATTGGAAAATAACAATGTTCAATTTTAACAATAACATCTTCTAAGACCCCATATGGTTAACGGACTGATCTATCAGTCAATTACAATTCTACTAATAATGGTTGCAAATCATCAATCTTATACAAATCATATAGGGCCTTGGGTAATATATTAACACTTGCTCTTGAATCAAGTAAAGAATGTGTAAAAATCATACCTTGGATTTGACATTTGATCAATGGTGCTTAATAAGTCTTCATTATCATGAGTTAATAATTAGTAAATAATATATTTTTAGCCTTAATTCATGATAAATATACTTATATTTATGTTAAAGTGTGAAAAGTGGTTTTTAGTTGAATAACGTGAATTTTTGAGTAATTATGTGATTTTATATAAATTTATATGATTTTTACAGTTTTACTTTTGAAATAAATGAAGAAAAAGAAATAAAAATAAAAATATAACAAAATGGGGGGGACCTGTTGGCCAACTAGGCCTGCAAGTGAGTCAAAAATGTAGTCGAAGAGCAACCATGAGTAGGGGCTCAAGTGACTAGGACCAATAGGGGCACGTGTGCACCACTCCCCTTTCACATCACCGGTGGCCAGCCGATTGTGAGGTAAGATTGTGAGGTAAGGAGTGGTCATACATGTGTGAGAAATGGACTTGATTGTAAATGTAATATTACTATATATTTGTCTGAAACTTTGCACACAAGTGATGTGAGACTAAACCTGCATCACACCTTCCCCAAAAAGGGTTCCATGATTTTAATACCTAAAATATCTCTTATTTATAACAAAGATATTCTATGATGATGTTATTTGATAAGGGTATTAGAATACTTATGTCAATCTATCTCATGTAGGTAGGTAATCAGTGTGGGTTCGAATCCTCCTAGAGCTAAAACTCATATTTTTTATCTGATTATTGCAACTTTCTTGTAGATCGTTGGTGAAGAATTAAGCCACCAAAAATGTTGGATCATCGACGAAAATCTTGTCAACGTGATTCGTAAAGTATTGTTACTAAAATTATTGAATGATTCGCGATAAAAGAATCATGAATCCATCAAATAAAGCATCTCCGATTGATCAACAAATAAGTTGTCATCGGAAAGAGGACAATCTACTGGGAAATGAGTTGCCACCTCTTGAGAGTATACCGGATGCGATGAAGAGCCTCCTCTTATTGTGCGGACCTAAAGATGAAGCTCTCTAACATGTGCCCCACCTCCATCTAGTTCCTCCTTGTCAGGTGATAGTTGTTAGAGAACCGCAAAGTCGTTGTTTTTTTGCTCCACTAGATGACAGCCACTAGAGATGATTCGATGACCTATTTCATTGATCTCTATACTTCATAAAGAGATCTAGAGATTACCTACATCGTGCTTGTCCAAGAAGGGCCTTCGAGACTGTGAACACTACATGACGATCCTCCTAAATGCTCAGGATTCTGATGCATCATTGACTCATTGCTGTTGCAACGTCAGAACTCTATTTTCTTACTTTGAACTTAATTTTTACTTCATTTAGTAATAACTTGTGTGATTTCAATTTATCAAGATATACTTTATTCTATTACGATTCTTCTAGCTTTTACAGATCTTAATTTGATCAATTAAATCGTTTGTAATTACTTACGTAAAAATTACTGAGCAGAACTCTATTTTTGTATGATTCACATTCGTCAAGTGCTAATATCATCCTAACATTGCACCCTTATTTCCCTTTTTTGTGAATTTTAAATATATTTTATTTTCATTTTTTAATGTAAAATTTATAAAAAATAGTATTCTTTGAAACAAAATCTAAATAATTACCTGATATTATACTACATCCTTATGATCAACTTGGAAAATTACTACTATTTTTTTAAGTTGTATTGAATTATAATTGATATGTTTTTTTAGAAATACTTCTAAATATCCAAAAATTTATATTTTCTAATTTTATAAATTTTAAATTTGTGTGATTTACTATATAACGACTAAGTCACGTTATTGCTCTAAGATCATGTCACTTTGTAGGAATCTTATTCAATAATATAAAACTAATTGTCTCAAACAATAGAATACATTTTTGTTTTCGAAGTGGTGTACACAGATCTTCCAATACTTTAGCATATGCAGAAATATGTTGAATGGCATCTACAAAAGGAATGCTAATTGTGACTTATTTAAAAATATCTAAAATTTTATCATCCTTATGATTATTCTTAACCTTTGCACCACGTAATGCTTCAAGAAAAGGAATGGGAGGAAGATATGCTGAAGGATCAAGTTCAATGATTTCCTTTTTCTTACCTTCATTTTTCGACAAACTCACCTCCTCTTGTGCTTCAAGTTCTTCTTCATTCTTTGAATCTCCTGTAGTTGTGCAATATGGGTCAGCGAGCACCTTATCATTTTGAAGTTTGGAAATAGCATTAAGAGTCTCACAACCTTGATCATGAAAATCTACTTGATGCACATAATGTTGACTCAAGGAACCACCTAAAGTTTTGGGATTTATAGATGGTTTTGTCGATCTAGATGGTTGTATTGATAATTGACCTAATTCCCTACTACTATTACCAATTTCGATTCTTTTATCATGTTGTTTATCAGATCGACTTTGATCTCATTGATCCTATCCTTCAATTTTGAGCTTCATACACTCCATTTTCTGTCTTAGCTCTCTCTATTCTTGCAACATTTGTTTTAGAAGTTCTTGTGTAGCTAATTCATTACCCCTTGTAGGTTTCTGTGGATAATGGTGAGTCATAAAGGTATCATGATTTTGATAATTTGATTTGTGTATATGTAAGTTCTATGAAGAAATAAAAGGACTAGCTTGAGGGGTTGTCTCTTAGTTTTTCTTCCAACCATTATATTGGTTTCCACCAACTTGATTGTTTCTATAGTTAAGAGTTATAATTCTTGTTTGAAAATACATTTGATTTGTGTCCTTGCCAACTATTCTCGACATGGTTAGAAGGGAATTGATTTCCTATCATTACTTGATCATATTTTGAGTAGTCAACCTCCACATGCTCATAGCTTGAACATACTACGTAGGCTGCCATATTTTGATATGTTTTAAGTTGTTGATTGATGGTTGAAACCTGTTACTGAAGACTTTTGTATCAACCCCTGCGCACATTCGGTTAGTTTCTCAACTTTATTAATGAATAAACCAGCCTCTACATTCTTCAAATCATGAATGCCTACCTTCTTAGGTCCCATGAACCTACCACTTTGATTTAAGACATAATGATGTCTGCTGTTCTCAGCTAATGTTTTAATAAATTCTAGTGCTTTTTCCTCATATTTATTCATAAATGTCCCACAAGAGGCAACATATATCATGTGCCTATCTCTCTCATTCAATTGTTCATAAAAAATCTGAACTAATTGCCAATTCTGAATCCCCTGATGAGGGCCCTATCTCATGTAGTCCTTAATCCTCTCCCATGCCTCATAGAAAGATTCTTGAGGGCCTTGGACAAAATCCCTTATTAGTCTTCTAATAGAATTTGTTTTTCCTACTGAATAGTTGTTTCTGAGAAATGCTACCTCCATATCAGTCTAGGAATTCAGCTCTTGAGCTAAGGCTCAAAGCCAATCCTTAGCCTTATCTTAAATTTGAATTATTTATAGCTACTAGTTGGTCAAATTTGATTTAAATGACATAATGATTGTCTTGAATAATTTTACAGTAAATATTTGTGTAAATGTCTTTCTTGAGCTTTAGTAGTCTCCATACATTTCATAGATTTCTCTTAGATTTTTTGCATCAAGTACCTTGATAGTTAGATAATCATATTTGATTGAAAACATCTAAAAGTAAGGATCTAATACCATGTGAATATAATAAACTTGGTAAGCTTTTATACCCATGTTTTCCTTTAAGTAGTCTCCTTGGTTCAAATGTGTTAATTATTACTCTGTGTGGTATATTCTGTAAATAAAGACACATTTTACAATACTATGTAACATGCTTATTCTCGTATGATGAAAGTAGTCATTTGTATGAATTCAACATTACTATTCAGATGTATATTTGATAAAATCTCAAAATTTCAAAACAATGCTCTATCAATATTGATAAGTTCTCAATAAATTTTATTTGTGATTATCAAAACTAATGCGATGAACAAAAAATGAGATTATGAAAACATAAATTTTATTTTTTACTATCTTAGTTGAAACCTCACTTCTTAATCTTAGTGCAGCTCTAAACCCAACAAGTGAGATTGATTATTCTCTGAATTATATGATTAAAGATATTAATTTTTATTTATTTATTTTGTTTAAAACACATACTGAGATAATTTTCTGAAACAAAGTTTTACATATTTATATCAATTTATTAATATTTATTTAAAAATAAAAGGTTAAATGTGATTGTGAATTATGTTGGTTAAATATGAAATTTTAATATTTATAATTCTGGAATGAGTTGATATATTTTTATTTTTATTTTTATTTTTGGGATTTTAGATTGAATTTGAAGAATTTTCTTGGAACTTTTATTATGACAAAAATAATAAAATAACACTAGGGAGCGACTGGTTGACCTTTGACCCGCCTGTCACGCAAAGAGCTGACTGGAAAAATCAGAAAAAATCAGAACTAAATGAATGATGATACTAAAATTGTGATTTCTCCGTGAAAACTTATCAGATTGATCTGAAATTTGAAATTAAGCGGTTTTACTTACTACAATTAGATATGCTAAAAATTTCATTTTTGATGGTAATTCAAGTGTTAAAAGAGAGTCAAAGACTAAAGATGAAAAATAAACAAAAACAGTTAAATCAAAAGTAAATGAGAGATTTTCAGATCTAAGGAAGCTCCTTGTTTCTCTATTAATGAGGTTAAAATAAGGGGCTCCTTGCACCTCTGGAGGGGGAGGACGGTGGGCTAGAAGCCAGGAGGCCATGAGGCACGAAAATGCAAGAGAGAGGGCTGAAGAGCCAAGAAATGAGGAGGATCTCAGAATCAAGGGCGCTGCAATCAATAGAATTCATTAAATTTTTAATATTAATCATTGTTTCATTCCGTTTCTCTTTCTGTTCTTTGGGGTGATAAACATTGATCAGAAAGACTTTAATTTCGAATTCATTTAATTTAAGCATTTTGGTCTTCTCATTTTCTTAGGTGACAAATTAGGGAAGAAAAAGACTTCCACTTTCATTCTTAGTTTTCATAATTACAAATTTAGTTGAAAATCAGATTTTAATTACTTAAAATTTCTTTTCTTATCCTTGGGTGACAAATAACTAAAGGAAGAGTTTTTTATTCTAAGTCATAAGATTTAATTTAGATTCTAATGGACTTTACTGCATAATGAATGTCAAAGTCTAATTTTAGTTTTAGAATTTATTTTTTTATCATGAATTTAATTATTTTAGTTCAACCTTGATTGACAGCTAAGGAGTTTCTGTATTTCATTCGTTTTAATTTTATTTTACATCTTATTTTTAATTATTTTAAAATAGTATCCACACCAAGAGATGTCATTCTATTAATAAACACCCTTCTCATCTTTCCATTCTATAATATTTAATCTATTTTCTTCTATTCTCGATTTAATCATCTCATCACTAAGACCCATTTTTTTATTATCTAGAGCCGATTAAAGAAATAAATTTACAAAATTAATTGGGGAAGGAGGATATAAAGTATTGAAGAGAAGAGATTACATCATTTCTCTCATCTCACTTCATTTTGCTCCTTTCTTTTAGTTAGATCTGTGTTATAAAAGTTAAAATTAATCAAAATTAGTTTTCACCTTCCCTAAGGATCGAACTGAACTTGTACTAATAATAAAATTTACTTAGAGAGTTTAGTTATAATTTTTGTAAAATTTGCATGCACTAAAACCAACGACTAATGCATGATCAGATAGAACTAACTTGTATATATAGATATGATTAAATAAAATACTCTAAAGATTCAAATACCTTTTAGGTTAACCATCAATTAACAAACTCAACTCCTATATAAATTCACACCAAAATTCACCACTACATCACCACCTCAAGATTTTCAACATCAGATAAAAGCATTCAACTCCCTTGAATAATTAAATAAAACTCAATTACATGTTCAACTACAAAGATTAAGGAAAAGTCTCATAAAATGACCTTAAATTTCATCTAGAATTTAGATGAAGGCTTCATTCTTATAGTCCTCTTCTTGTAAGGATGTCAGGTGAGACTAAAAACCATTACTACTTTGATCTAGTGGATGTAGATTTTGCAAAGCTTGAATTTCGTTCCTCAATGTGTTACCTTTGTTTTGTTAGACTAACAAGTAATACCTCTTGTATTATGATAATTTTTTATATAAGATATTTAAAACTATTGAAGTTCAAGAGGGTAAGAGATTATCATTCGGAATTATTTTGTTGTTGGGCTGATTCTGAGTTTATGGAGAAATCACATTCAAAAATCTGTTTTATTTTTTATTATCACAAAACATTTAAATTGTTAAGTTACGTTAGAACTTGAACAACATAAATCATTGTCACATATACTCATGAAATTTTTGATCTCTTAGAAGAATTATTCATTAAAGGACTCATATGCCACATACCTTCAGATTCACTACAAGATTCATGCCTCTAGGTGTCTAATATTTGATTAAATGATTCAACTCCTTTAAAAGATTAAATAAAATTTAGTTCTATGTTCACCCACAAAACATTAAGGAAACATTTTACCAAATGTTATCCATCGATGATAGTGTTAAATTCAATTTTGTCTCGTATTTCAGTAAAAAGTATGATTATGAAGGCTTCATTCTTGTAGTCCGATTCTGGTAGAAATGTTGATTGAAAGTAAAAGATGTTGCTTGGATCTAGTTGATAAAGTTCTCGTGAAGCTTGAAATTCATTCCTCAACATGTTACCTTCTGTTTCATTTGACCAACAAGGAATACCTCTTAAATTTTGATAAAATGTTATTTATAAAATATAAACAAGACTTTTGAAACCATAGAGGGGTAAGAGTTGATCAGTCATAACTAATTAGTCATTCAAGAGGTATTGAATTCATAAAGATATCTTGTTATGAAATATCTCTTACTTTTAGTCATCTCTCAAAAATTTATGCTGTAAGGCTAGTTAGAAATCAGAATCACTAGAAACGAATACCACACGTACTATAAAGATTCGGATATGTCTTACAGGAAGTATTAATTAAAGGACAACTCTTGAAAATTTTCACTTCAAAATTTTCTAAGTGGCAAATATTAAGTTCTAACTCCCTTAAGTGATTAAATAAAATTTAATTATAATTTCATTCACAAAGATTGAGGAAATATTTCACCAAAAGTGATTTTCAAATGATAATGTTGACTTTGATTCCGTCTGAAATTTTGATGAACAAGATGATATTGAAGACTTTATTCTTGTAGCTCGTTTATTATAAGGATGCTGACTGACGTTGCTGCTTTGATCTACTTTGACCTCTCTCTTCTACCGTAGCAAGTCAGTAGGTTTCGTTTAAACAAAGAAAAAATGAGAGGGAGAAGGCGAGCAGGTTCAGATATCCGCCGGCACACGCTTGTAGAGCTCGCCGGCCTGCAACCTGGGCGTCGCCACCGCCCGCAGGGGCGTCCTCATGAAGGTGATCACCCCGGGGCTCTCCTCCATGTCCATCTCCTCCGGCCGGACGCCCTCCGGCAGCTCCCACCGGAATTGGTGCAGCAGGTGGCCGAGCATCGACTGGACCATGTTGATCCCCAGCTGCGTTCCCGGACAGACCCGCCGACCGGCGCCGAAGGGAAGCAGCCGGAAGTCGTGCCCCTTGGCGTCGACATCCTCCTCGGAGAACCTCTCCGGCCGGAATACCAGAGGATCCTTCCACACCGCAGGGTCCCGAGCGATGGCCCAGACGTTGACCAGAACGTTGGAACCCTTGGGGACGTCGTAGCCACCGAGCTTGACGGCGGTGGCGGCCTTGTGGGGGAGCATTAGCGGCGTCGGCGGGTGGAGGCGCAGGGCTTCCTTCGCCACCCACTGGAGGTACGGCAGATTGGGGAAGTCCGTCTCTGAGAGGACCCTCTCCTTCCCCACCACCCTGTCCAGCTCTTCCTGCGCCTTCGCCTGCACCCTCGGGTTCCTGATCACCTCCGCCATCGCCCACTCCACCGAGATCACCGTCGTATCCATCCCCGCCGTTATCATGTCCTGCCATTGCCGCCACCACAGAGGTCAGTCCACATCAAATCCACCCTAGAAACTCAGAGAAAGGGGACGGGGACGAAGGGTACCCAGAGGAGGCCGATGACGGTGTCGTCGCTGAGGTCGTACTTTTGCTGCAGGGTGAGGAGGGCATCGACGAAGTGCTGCTTGGCGGCACCGCCTCTGTCCCGGCGGATGCGGGTGTGCTCGTCCATGATGGCGGCGGTGAGGCGATCACGGCGGGCGTTGTGCTGGGTGAAGGCCTCCTCCTGGAGGGGGAACATCCAGCGGAGCCAGGGGATGTGCTCCGCGATGGCCAGGGACGCCCCGAGCTTCACCCCTTCCGTCCCAATCGCCTTCAACTCCAGGCCCTGCTCGTCCACCACCCCCTTGTCGTCGACGAAGCGCTTCCCAAAGACCAGCCGAGAGATGTTGTTGAACGACACCGCCGCAAGGTACTCCCTCACCACCATGCTCATCCCCTTCTTTTCTGCAAAAATCCACATAAAAAAGTAAAAGCACGTCAGAAATCCCCTCCCGCGTCCCTAATAATAATAAAAGATGACATGATCCACAGTGAAAATGAAACTTGCGGTGTTTTTCCCAGGCCCATGGAGCCTGAAAGAAGTGTGGAAATGCAAAATTGTTAATTATGGGGGTTTTAGCAAAACAGATGTAAGAAATCAACCTTTCGCTCCCTTAATAAAAGTTTAAAATAATCTAAATACCCAGATTTGAAACAGGTTTTTATAAACTTGGGTGTTTTTCCAAGACTAAATATGAGTGATAGGACGTAGATATGTAATATTCTGAACTCCTGAGGCCTTTTAGCAAGGCAACCCTTGCTTGGTATCCCGACAGTCCAGAGTAGGCTGGCCGCACAATTAGAAATAGAGATATAAATTAAAATAAAATATTATTAAGTTTCTTTTCAACAAAATAATTCATAGAGGAATTTTTTGGGGAAAATACCGTTTTTTGGGAGACTGCTGGAATAGCGTATGAAGAGAGAGTAGGAAAGAGAGAGTACCGGGGTGTACGCAGTCCCCGTAGAGCGCCTGAACCATGGCGGTGATCTCGTCCTCGCGAACCGGGCGGAGTGCCTCGAGGCGGCGGGAGGAGAAGAGCTCCAGCGTGCAGACCTTCCTGACCTTCACGTAGTGCGGCCCGTAGTCCGCCCAGATCAGGTCCTTCCCATCCTTGCTGAACGTCGCCGTCGGCCTGTTCCTCGACCTGTCTGCCAGCTGCTGGTCCTTCTCCTTCAGCACCTCCCTCGCCAGCTCCACGCTCGACACCACCACATGCAGTGTCGACCCAACCCACACCGACACGATTGGGCCGTACTGCGCCGCCCACTCCGCGTAGCACCGGCACTGTACCGGCTTTATCTCCAACAGGTTCCCCACCACCGGCCACCCCCACGGCCCCGGCGGCAGCCGCGGCCCCAGTGTCCGCCGGAGCACCAGCGCCAGCACCACCACCACTGCCAGCCCCACCGCCCACTCGGCGGCCGTCAGCATTCCGATACCCATAGCTGGAGCGGCGAGTCGGCGGCGAGTTGGCGGCGCTTGGGAGGAGGCTGTAGGTATTGGTGCTCCATTGAGTCCAGCGGTGGGTATTTGTACTTCGCTGCCTGGCGGAGAGTTAGTAGCGGTAGGTAAGATAAGACAGGAAGCCCCACAAAGAGGATGTACTTTTTTTTCTAATTATTTTTTGTAATTTATACTTGGCCTAAGAATAAATGATCACAGGTCCACGTGGCAGATCTATCTGTGGGCTGGCGTGCATGATCGTGAAAGGCGTGCATGTAACGGTGGAGACCATTCTTCTTGGTGTCGTATACACATTGTCAACGAGTCGACTGGGTATAAAGTCAAGTGGGCTGGCGAGTTTGGTAAACCTTGGTTGAGCTGGTCAAAGTCAATGAGTTTCATGGCTAGGACGAGGTAGTAGGAAAGCTATGTTTTCAAGAACTCAATAACAATGGAAAAAACAGTATTTTTACTTTTAAGTTTATTACAAGGATTGTGATGAAAAATTAACTTATTATTACTTATGGGTGATGCTTCTCGACGTGTTTGGTAGCTGAACGAGGTAGACCCTGCGAACAGACCAAATGATTGACGAGGTCTTAGGTGAGGTGGCGTGTTGGCTCACCTCCCCCGAGATGATTGACGGTCCAGATTGAATGATAAGAATGCCAAGACGCCGATACGAGGCACTCATTAGATCCATAGCCGCCGCTGCCACCCAGCGGCAGCACGCATCTTCTCTCTACTGATGGCCAAGGACACCCGGTCTCTTTCTTTCTCGAGGGAGTGAGGGAAGGATCCCGCTAAACTACTCTGAAAGCTCACTCGCACGTGGAGCGCGTGGAAGAGAACCGGGTTATTTTCGTCAAATAAAGCCGAGCTCCAAAAGGACCCAGAGTGCCACATTTGGGGTTGTGATAAATATCAAAAATGATGAGGAATTTTAGTATTCTGGGCTTAAAAATAGAAGAACTATAAAATAGCAAATAAAATGCATTATTGGTCGGACTTCATAAATCTGGATAGAGCAGGGTGGGACCCAACAGCAATCCAGCGGGGATAATGATGGGTTTCAACCGTGTTGGACTGCTGACGTGGATGGATGTCTATGAGTCAGTGCGATTCTGTAGCTGTGACCAATTAATCTATTCTTCATTCATAACTCTATCTTTACATAAGCATTTTTCAAACTATTAGTTATAAATTGATTGCTTTATGTTTGCTCAATATCAGATATCAATCAAATGAAATGACGTAACAAGGAAGAAACAAAAATCAAATATTGAATTTACAAGGTAGAAACTCCTTAATCTTTTAGTACAGAAGGATTGATCTGGATTATCTTTGAATCCACAGAGATCTGAATGACACCCTTTACATTCAAAGTGATTGTTAGAATCTAGAAGCAAATAAAAATCTGATGAAAAGAACAAAATGATACATTGAGGTTGTCCCTTATAATTTAAGCATGCTGACCTTTAAAATAGGCCTAAATTTGTTGTAGCCCTCTTGGAAATTTCGTCAAGTTAAAAAAGTTAAAAAATAAATTAATAGCTACATAGTTATAAAGACTATGAGTCTAATGTCAAATTTATGTTGTTGTTTAATTTGATGTCTTTCCATCTTTGTTCCCCACATTTTCTGTTTTCCATATGTAGGCCATCCATTTTAGGACATAGTTTTTGAGTGATATTGTTCATTAGTCTAATCCACTTGAAAAAGGTTTTCACAAGTCTTCACATTAATCTTCATAATATTCATACGATTGGCAAGGTCAAATATATATCCAATTCTTTTGGTAGATTAATGATCTATAAAATTTTGACTAGTCTATATTTCTTTAGTCTCAACTTGTTATAACTACCCATTAGAAATTTTACTTGTGTACCATGCCCAAATCACTAAGCTCAGAAATGTTCTCATTTTTTATTAATTTACATGTTATAATTGCTTTAATCAGATGAAAGAAACTTCTATAGACTTCAGGAATTACATTGGTATGACTACTATGTTATTAAATATGATACTTGTTCATGTTTCTTTTATTAAAAGAACCAAACATCAAGAAATTATGAACAAAATAGTAAATGATAATCAATATAGATCAATGTGTGGAATAGTTGATTCTACAAAACTAACTATACTTACTCAAAGTCAAAACTCATTACTTTATTTGATCTCTTAAAATAGAGAATCAAATTATTGAGAATCCTATTTCTCACTTTAGCTTGATCATTTATTTGGGGGATAACTTGTACTAAATCTTAATCATGAGTCAGATCTCTACCAAATAGTACATTAGGATCACGAAAAATGTTTGTATCTAAATAAAATGTCATATACTCTAAGATTCAATCCAAATAAACCACATACCTGAAAAATACATTTACATTATCTGTCTTGTAGTAGACAATAAATAAACTCATCTTATTGTGTATTCCATAGTCCCAAAATAAAGTTCAAGGTTGTCTAGTTTCCTAGTATTGTCTTCTATTAACTTGGGATATCTTTTTCAGTTGTGAACAATAATAGCTCTCCTCTCCAATTATAGAGTCATTATCACACCCCAATCTTCCCCTAATCTTCCATTGTGTATTTTATATATTGCCTTTAAATGGAATCAATTTCTTGAAATACACAATTCATTTAAGTTAAATAATTCTTTTTTCTTATATATGAAATCTTTGAATTGACTAACTGATCTTATATGTGATAAATATTTATTTATCACTAAGAATTAATTAAGTATCTCTTAAATTTTTTCTTTAATGAATCATAATAGGCATGAATTACTATATCTCATCATATTAGACCAAACGACATAAGATATGTATAAATAATGACTCTAAAATTAGCTATATCTATATCATGCATTTATGGATTTAATTACTAACATTTTCTAACCTTTTCCCAAGGTTTATCACCTTGAGAATTTATTTCAATTTATCAAGAGAAGTGGTTTAAAATTTCAGAATTTTATTCCAACGAGATTAATTTCTATGGATTTGCCAAAGTAAGAAGAATTAGCATGAAATGTCAAATTTCAAAAATCATAAACAAGAGAAAGGATAGACTGATGTATTAAAAAATTAAACACAGCACCCAAAAGATATGACTTAATCAGGCCATGTAAAGAATTGAGAAAAACATTCAAAAAGAGTCTAGGCATATAAACTTTAAAGAGAATAAATGAGAAGGAATTTTTTTTCCATGCAAATAAGAGGTGTCAACTAGGTGACTAACAACTGATTTATTAGCCTTTTAGACTCTCTCTTATTTTCTAGATGATAAGTATCATTTAATAGATGACATTTCTTTGAGTTTTTAGTGAGTTATTCTCCTATATATCTAATTTCTCATGTCTTGGTGGCAACACCGAAACAAAGAAAATGAGATCTATATCAACTCGTATAGTTTCTTTCAAATTTATGATTTTTCCTAGATATCTCACTTTTTTAGAAATCCAATGAATATTTCATCTCTTCGAAAGATCATGTTTTGGTGATTTGGTGCTAGAATCAATAAGCCTATCATCAGAAATTATTTTCTATGTTTCTTGATTTAATCTTTCTTTAGATCAAATCTGATTTCATGAGTGAAACATAGAATTTGGTCACAATATCTTAGAAAATATTGATGTAATTAGTTTCCTATCTTCTATAATTTTTTCGTGATTTTAGAAAGTGTTTAGAATAGGTTTTTTAGATTTTACCAGAATTATTTCCTATTTCTTTCGTTTCTACTTTTCGTTGGATCAAATCTGATTTCATTTGTGCCACTTGAATTTAGGTAAATATCTTTTGGGAAAACATAGCATAGTTAGTTCCTTATCTTCTATAAGTCTTTCACGATTTTAAAATATGTTTTAGTATAGGCTTCTAGATTTATAATAATTATTTTCTCTAATTTTTTATATTCTTGATTTCTCATTTTCAACCTCAAGTAAAATTTTATTCAAAGAGTGACACCTGGAGTTATGAGATATTAAATTAGAGTTAGATATCTCTACTTTTCTGATTTTTTTCTTATTTTTTACAATTAGATACCTTTAACGTTCATAATTTACGAAAACTACTATCTCATTCCTATTTTTTCAAACTTTCTATATTAAAACAAAGCTTTCAAAATTCTAATTTTCTTGAGGATTTTCCTAAAATATTTATAATTAAAGAGAGCTTATTTGGGCTTTCAAGTATAAATGTTAAATTTGAGTGCTTAAATTAACAATGACTTTGGGCACATCAGTATGTATATCAAACATATGCAAAATCTTTATCACCATCTTTTAAATAAATGAACCTACTTGTTTTCTAACACGAAGGTTGATCAAGTAGATTGTTTTTTTATTGAACACATCTAGAATGTAATTTAACTTTCCTAATTAAAGTTTCATGAAAAAATATCAATACGCCATTGAATAAATGAAATGTATTTAACATTCAATCTCTCAATACTTATTTATGTCTATATACTTTTAGTACTTACTGGTTAGTGAATTCTAAAAATTCTACTTGAACAAGGAAGTGCTCTCACATCAACAAGTCTTTGATAATAATAGTATTTTTAACTTATATGTGTTTCACTCTTTTTTAACATTAATAAGCTTTTTATAAAAACTTATTAATAAGCTTCTACTCTCACAATTTTGGCATAATGTTGTACTCATAATTGTCAAAAGTTGGAATTATTAATATTTTTTAGGATATTTAGTAATAAGTGTGACAATAAAATTATAATTTATAATAAATTTTGATAAAAATAGGTTAATTTTTTTAATAGAAATGAATCTTTGATACTTAATTTTTTTTCTATATCAACTTTTATTCAATATGTAGTAACATTAATAAGTTTGTCTCTATGAACTTATCACTCTCTAAAAGTAATTAGAAAATTTTAACTTATACATGGTTTACTCTTTGTTAACATTAATAAGTTGTTTTCATAAAAAAAAAATAGGACCCTAATGGGATAACAAAACTCTTACTCTCATAGTTGTTGAA